TTTCCCTACTGGGAAGCATATAAAAGAATACAAGTAGCATATAAAAGAATACAAGTTTTTCTTTTCTTTCCTTTTCTCCTTTTACAAGCAAAAGGCACAAAAGGTACATATCCACAAGGAACTGCGCCAAAAAAACTCAAACTCCATCCACTATTGAGGCACATGAGGTGCCGCTATACCCAATGGCCATCAGCAAGTAGACAGAAGTTTGAGTTTCTAAATAAATAATCAATTTGTAATCTTCCCAATTACAAAATGCTCACCATTTGAGAGTACCAATTCAAAAAGAGCAGTGTTGTGCGCTTGGGTGACCGACCGTGGCATTCTTCATTAGAAAATGGCATAGAGTTGCAAATGCAGAGTAAGAAAGCTCACTTTCTTCCCAGCATTCATGCTTTTGCTACTTCCTAGATGAAACTCCTACCAACTGGATGTTGGTAACGAAAATCTATGAGAAAGGAAATCAGACATCAATAAAGCATTTTAAGTGCAAAGAAGACAATGATAAATCCAATAGGAACCTTTTCATATCATGAAGTGACGAAATTCCTATGAAACTCAAAAGTAAATTATCCTAATTATATGTAAACTTACAGCATAGTAACTTATCTTGCAGAACCCAGCTCAGTACTAGCTCAACTCATTGGAATTAAAAAATAAAACAAATTCTATGTGACAATATAGAAGCCACAGGTAGCCTCATAATTGAAATCAGCTCCTTTGACCAGAGGTATATGAAGAGACTTACACATAATTGAGATCAGCTACTTTGACCACCTATCCTTTGCTAGCACCAATAATACACAGAACCCTCTCCTTAAGCCTATTGATAGTCTGCATGCAGAACCAAAGAAAAGGATCAATAGAGAACAACACAGGCAATACAATTAACTGCACACAAAGTTTCAAAATCCAGACCAAGCTAGAGATCCTTCCCCATCTTTCAGTGGAGACAGCAGCATCTTTGAGATGAGAACAATGTGGAGTGTCAAATCTTAAAAAGTAAGCTGAAGTTTCTGTAGCTTCTGCTACCCAAAGGGAATTCATTTGGTCCTTTGCTCTCTTGGTAAGATTACAAAACCCAACCTGTAAAGAAGAAATATAAAAGATTATAAATAGACTGCTTTTAGCCAATAGGATGGTTTCATTTGGGAAAGAATGGGAGGGTTGATTACTGAGAGAATGTGGTAATAGCAATTTGAGTATGATATAATCCCACAACTCGATCTCCAAAAATGGAAACCAACTTTTACATTCTTCATACACCTCGATATTCTAGGTTGGGATTCCTCCTGAGGAGGGGGCTTGCATTTTGTTAATTACTGACCAAATGGATCAAGTATGGGTGTGGAGTCAAATGCTTTCCATCTAGTTACCATCCAAGTATGGAATTAAGAGGCAGCACATTCAAATAGTACTTTTTGTGTCTTAAAGATTCTATAACCATAATTAATGGGTTATATGACTTCCTAATGAAGATCGTAAATCAATCTTAGATACATCAAAGTGGTTGCAGACCAAATCAATTAACGAAGACAAATTACATTTAGATGCTGTTTTGTTTTCTGGGCTAAAATCTTAAATAACTCATCTAAGTTACTCTGATATCTTGAATTAGTTGGAATTTTAACTTAATGAAGACTGCTGTTATTTTTGCTGCTTTGACGGTAGCCGGTATGTAGAAGACAGTTAAGTTGTATAAAGGTAGCCTTTTGTATTATAGTAAGATTTTTTAAATATTGCTTTAAATGCACACCTTGTGTTTTGTATGTATGTTTATACTTTTTTCGATTTAATTATGTTTCTTATTAAAAAGAACCAAGGAAGATGTTCTAAGTGCAAACATAAACGTACGACTCATATGGTTAAATGTGTCAATTTTTGGTTTTAAGATGTTTATGGAATATAAAAAACAGACTTGAAACTTATTTTTAAACTAGAAACAAAGAAACAGAAGATATCAAACAAACAAACATATCGTTCAGACATAAACATTAAGATCAAATTCAGATCTACTGACATAGGATCAAAATAAAATTAAGAAATGCCACCTTCATATTCTATTTCAAGATACTACCAGTGTCTCACATGATGATTTTTCTCATTAGTTTATATGAAGCGGTGACCTGAGGTTGACTATTGAGAAGGAACAGTACATACCGTTGTTCCTGTGAGGTTATAGTTTATAGGAGCAACTGAATCAACGCCAATGTATGGTGAACAGAAGCAGACGGCCAGTAGAGAATCACATGATTCTTCTGAATTTAATTCAGATATGGAGCCATCTGTCACAAACACCCACTGTTTCTTCTGGTGAGCAGCTATATAAACCTCCCCCACAAACACAACGAACAAATATAAAATCCCCTGCAAAAACCCCCCCCCCCCCCCACAACCCAAAAAAATAAATCAATTAATTCAACATTACTTTTCTATGGGAACAAACAGAAGAATCAATATCAAAAGCATAGGCTTAGTCTAGGATTAACCTGGAAAGAGGAACTTTACCCAAATCTGACAATAAGACTGATTTGCGAGGATTGAAAAAAGGCCTGAGATGGATATAGTCATTTTATTAAAATAAGTAAAGAAAATAAAGGAAAATAAAAAAACATAATACTTACTTAAAGTGTTCAACTGCCTGCTGAGATAAAGGCTGCCATGTTGTTGTGGATCCTCTCACTTGCAAGTGTAGAGTATCCACATCAGAACTTGTTGGTATAAGTCCAGAAACACGATATGCACATCCCTCAACCAGCTCAGTCTTCTGCTGTATCAGAAGGTAAACTTGGTAATGTTTGCAAGTACCATTGTAGCATTCAGAGAATAATTGTTCAAGGGAGCAGACTCGTCATTATATTTCATAAACACACATGGGGTGAGAGAGAGAGAGAGAGAGAGAGAGATCAACAAATATATATTAAAGGGGATCTTTACAATAACACAGTTGGGTTCACCTGCTTCTCAGATGGGTTCCAGATTGTTATTAGGCCTTCTTTAGAACTGTCTTTCCCATGACATAATTTTCTTGTTAGTCCAACCACCCTCACCCTCATGAATGGCGTGACTTCCCTCTCACTTAAGCCAGCATCTTCCAGTGCTTTCAAAATTGATTTCTCCATGTCTGACTGCTTAATTGCCTAAGTAGAACCTGCCATGATCAAAATCTCGTTCTATACCAGACTTTCATTCAAACAAAACATTTGAGACCTACCTCCAGCTTTGATCGATATTTGGTAAAAGATTTCAACTGTTCTGAACTCATTTCTGCCATTAAAATTTCAGGTTCAGTGGCTGTTTCTAGTATTTTTAAGAGTTTTGCTCCTTCGCTATCGCTATCATTACACAAATGTGAATGTTCTAGTCCTCTTTGGAACTCAGATATAATGCCTTCTATGACATCAGAGCGCCTGCACCCAAGAGAAATATCAATCACAGCACATAGGCCTTGCAAGATAATATGTAAATTTCAACTCCCGCTTTTTACAGCAAATTGCAAATACATCCCCTATGAAACTTGCTGATATAACACCAAAAAGAAATCATCTTTTTGTTTAAACAAACTTTAAGATAAAAGTGTATTCATATTTCACCAAATATCTACCAGTAAATGTGCAATGATACTTTTCATTATAAAAATAGCTAAAACATGGATTATTTTTATTTTTATTTTTGGATATATTACATGATTGAAAAGGAGTGTACTTTGATCTGATGAAGCGTAAGTTTGTTTTACATAAAAGTATCTTTGTAACATGAGATCAATTCGAGATCCAAGTACATACGCACACAAAAAATTATTAGCTCTAAAGAAGTACAACTCTCATGAGTTTAAATCTCAAGAATCAATAATTCTTGATATTTACATCTAGCAGAATTATACTCTACTTCCATCCAATAATTTAGCTGAAGATGTCCTAAGGTCATTGTTGAAAGAAAAATCAGCCCCCGCATAATAAGGCCATTGTTGAGATTAATATGAATTATAAGTATTCTTATAAGCACAACACTTCCTGTTCCCCAATTTATTTTTAACTTTTTATTTGAAACATATTTTATTTACTGTAAGAGCATATCTAGTTCTCCCACCTAAGCACATGCTAAGGGCCTGCTTTTAGCATTTAATGGTTTCTCCTAAACTAAAAAAGTCACAAATTATCTAGAACAATTTTGTAGCTCACATCAAATATTGAAGCAAATTTGGATTTTAAAGCTTGACATAAGACACCTCTGTTGAGCACCATCTAGAACAGATAACATAACACAATCCTGATATGATCCAAATATTTTTGTAACAAAAAAGGAAAATGTTGAGCATACTTGAGGTAAAAAAAATTCAAAGAGCAACTAGACAGTAGAACTCTTAAAGAGGCTAAGCTAAAAAAATTAGATTTTGAATGAATAAAGGAAACATAAATTACGAATACTTTCAAAAAGTAAATTAACTTATAGTTTGTTTGCTTTGTCAGAATAGACACCTCTCTTGGTATGATTGCACCATTTGGGACTCCAACCTCTCTGATCTTACAATAGATCTTCCATTACTTAACCTAAAAGAAA